TACTGCTTGATTATTTTTTCGTAAGTGAGCACGCATTACTTCTACAACACTTCCAAACGCCGAGGCTGGGCTTGGGGTTGAAGGTTAGGCACCTTCCACTAATGCAGTGACAGAGACCACCCTTCCTCTCCGGCTTTCTGGAGAGTGTTCTCACTTTTTACTTTCAAGAGAAAGGTGAACAAGAGACAAATATATAGGACCAAATGCCAGCAAGAGAAATATGAAGTCTTATCAAAAAGAGCCACGTGAGTCTGAATGCCCGGACGAGCCACTGTAGGTGTGTTAGTCCTGTGTCCATGCTGCATATTTTCTAGTTGACCTGGGCTGTGAGTCCAGGAACCGCCAGCATGGAAAAGCAGCGGCTCCTACTGGGGACATGAGTCACCTTCTCTGGGGGCATAATTGTCATTCTTTTCTTTGGTGGCCTGTTACTTTCCACGGTGACAATATAAACAGAGGTCTGTTTACTGTGACATTCCTCCTGCCCAGGCATTCCTGTCCGGGTCCATGACACCCACCCACTCAGGGGTACGTAGGTAGAATTCTGGGGTTCTAGATACAGGGTCTGGCACAAATAATGCCCCACTTTTATTACAAAATCTTTTATTACGAAATCATAAGCATGTAATTCTATAATATAGCAATATCACACTCAAGTGAACCAAATGACATTTTAGGTAAAAGGGTTCAATTTAAACTAAAATTATTACAGCTGTATTATTACCTTACCAACCACACTCAAGCAGGCCTTACTTCTACTGGACCCTGTATTTAGTTGGAAAAAGAGTTACATCTTTATTTCCATTAATATTTAATCTAAATTTAGCCTTTCCTTTATTTATGGATGTGGGTAATAAACGACACTGGTGTGAACAGTACTGGTGACTTTGTCACCAATAAAATCATAGATCCTTTTATTTTACAGATGTTGCAAATATTCTGAAAAAATCATTTACATGTCACTAGGTAGAAAGTATAGTAATGAATCTAATGTGTTAAAAAACAAAGCACAGGTATTACTGTATGTAATTTTAAAATTATTTTTAATAACTACGAAATATAATTGGTTATTGTATGTGTCTATGTATTTTAACCGACACACTTAAAATCATATTATGAGAAGAGAACCAGAGGTCTTTTACTCTATGTATTTGAAGTCATTGTCCTGAGATGAGACCCATCCCTAGGTGTCCTCAGACTGCCACAAGGGCCCATGGCACAGAAAAGAGTATGGACGCTGACGCAGCAGGAGTCGGTGGTGGCACAGGTGCCTAAATACCCAGGCTTGGGACACAGGCTCTGCCACTGATCCCTGTGTGACCTGGGACAAAATGTGTCACCCCTGTTTTGACGCTGATTAGATGTTTTCTGGTTCTGTGGCATCTGGTGTATTTTCTTTAAGCTCTTAAATTACTCTGAAGTCAAGATTAGCATCAGTCGGTTCTTACAACTAGAAAAAGACTACATACAATTTTTTAAAATTGTTACTAAATTTATTGGGGTGATGTTGGTTTTTAAAATCACATAGGTTTCAAGTGTACAGTTCTATGATACATCATCTATACCTTGTACTGTGTGTTTACCGCCCGATTAAGTAATTTGCCAGGGACCTCTACTTTGAGTTTTTCCAGCTTGTTAAATCATTGATTTCTCTTTCCCCCTATGGAGAAGGAGACTAACACACTTGAGGATAAATTACCAGTTATAAGCGCCTGCTAGGATAGCAGGCCTCATTTCAGGAGCTTGTCTTCCCGTTTCCTCTCTGCTGCTAGCACAATAGAATCCTGCCCTGTTAGAAGAGAACACCAGTTAGTTTGTCTGCCTAATCTTTTTCTTCCCAGTTTGAAAAGTGCCCCCATGGGCCTAGCATTGACTTAGTGAATGAACTAAACCCTCCTTTGACAAGAAAAGCGTGAAAGTAACTTTGCTCCCAGAGTCCTGGCTGCAAAGCAGCCAGGCTTGCTGGGGGAAAACTTAACAGTTTCCTTTCTGTCTTAAAATCCTCCTGACTTAGGTTCAAACTTTCAATTTTAGGTACAGTTGGACACAGTTCTGACAACATTCGTATTTTCATTGTAGAACCAAAGGCCAGGTTATTCAGAAATGGCTTAGGCTGTGTAATTGGCCGTAGGTGGGTATCATCGCATTTCAGAGCAGAAAGAGGCCTTGGGCATCAGTGGGTCTGCCCTGGTAGTTGAGAGGGATACTCGGTCCCCCTGGAAGGCCCCCGGAATGCCTGAGCTAGGTACTGTTTCTCTACTCCAACGCCCCCGTGCCTCCCTCTCCTGTCAGACAGGCAGCAGGCGGGGCCCTCAGCATCCCACAGCCAGCACAGTGCCTGGCGCGTAGTGTCCGTGAGTGTTGATGCCAGAGCCTGGAGGGAATAAGATGGGTCGCACTGGGAGTGTCTCTGCAGAGAGAGGAAGCGGACCTGCAGGGCTGGTGGAGGGAGGCTGCCAAGGTTCCACTCACCACTGGGTTTCCAGCACAGCACTGGGCTCTCCAACCCAGACAGAGCAGCAAAGGCCATGAGCACCTGGCTCTGGCCGTGTCTCAGGGGCACATGGATGATTGAAAGCTGCCATTCTCTGGAGAAGTAACACCTCTCATCTGCACAGGGAAGAGCACCCTTGTATTTACTGAGCATCTATGCAGGCACATAGTATCTCACTGATATATTTACATACTTTATAGAGTATCTCACTTAATCCTCACAAGAGCCCTGAGGAGGGCTTTGTTTCCATTTTCCAGAAAAGAAAACTGAGGTTTGAAGAAGTTAACAGTCATGTAAGTAGGAAATTAAAGAGCCAAGATTCAAAATTAAATTTTCTCTGTTGTGTAAGTAGGAAATTAAGAGCTGAGATTCAAAGCCAGGTTTTTCTACATAAAGCCCATAAACTGTCCTAATTTTTTCCTATTATGAAGCAAATAATACATGAACACTTTCTAATTATAAAAATGTAAAATAGTACCAAAGGATATAGAATAAAGCACACAAGTCTCCTTTTTCTTTCTTCCCCCAACCCACTGTCCTCCCCTAACAAAGCCCTTTTGAGAATTTGGCCTGAAATCTTTTCAGATATGTTGCTGTGCACCCACACAGGCATATACCTGTGCACGCACATGCACACACATACACATGTACACCTCCGTACACTCCTACAGAGCAAAACAAACAAATACATAAATTACGCTACTGCACTGCAGCTTCTTAATTAGGCAAAAAATAAATTACAATGAACATTTGCTTTCCTCTGTTTTATTTGTAGGGAATAATTGTAATCGCTTCACATTTATTGAATACTTAGTGTGTGCCAGATATTGCCTAAGGTACTTTATGTGTATCGTGTGTGTCCTCACAGGTAGCACCCTGAGTCGCCTTTTGCTCCTGAGGCATTTGAAGCACAGAGAGGTTAAGAGATTGCTGAAGGTCACACAGCCAGGAGGAAGAGAGGTAGAAACCAAACCAGGGGCTGGCTCTGGAGCCTCTGCTTTTAACCATCACTTGGATGCTGCCACTGATGTCTGACTCCTATAGAGTCAGGGCTTGGTGGTAAGAGAGTGGCCTCTTCCAATTAACTGGGATCATCCTCAGTTAGTTCCTGTGGGAGGGTACCATATAGTGAAGTCACTTCTAGAACATCCTCCATCCCTAGGCCGATCCCAGAAATGTCTACAGCATTCTCACCACAACCAACGCTGCGTGCTTGTGAACGTAGCCTGCGTTCAGGCATGGAAACGGTGCCTGGCACAAAGCAGGTGCTCTGCCTGCTCTTATTTTCCTTACTGTGTGGTTCACAGATTGCCTTCCTATGCAGTATGAGCCTTTGTCTACCACCAAGGGCTGTAGGACTTTAGCGAGGAGAGGGCATGGGGGGCTCTGGAATGGCTTGGATGGCTTCACAGAAAGGGAGGACTTGAGCTGCTCTTTAAATAATGTGTAGAATTAGGCAAGGAGAATGAGGATGGAATTCAAGGAACGGAGAATGGCATGTGTAGAGAGGAGTGGAGTTAGGGATATTTGCTATTGCGAACAGGAAGGGGCCTGCTGCGAAGGGAGCTGGGATGGGGGCAGGCGGCCAGCTCATAGCAGTGAGCCCAGAGCACCCAGATGTCAGGCGCTGGGCTTTGGCTTGTGTCTGATGCATCCAGAATGTTCCCACTGACACATATCACTCCAAACCGCGTGAACAAAAGGGAGCCATGATTCTAAGAGTTAAAAATGGCACAGTAACTTCTGGCCGTAGACGAGGATGATCACTCTCCGAGGGTTGGAGGATTCACAGAAATGGAGCCTTGGGGATGACCAGATGCCTTCTACAGCATCCATGCTCGATCATCGCCCCACCTGTCCTGGCCTTTCTTCTTTTGTCACCCTGAATACCCCCACTTCTGTTCTTCATGCAACAGGCTTTCAAGACTCTTCATGCCCCTGTCCCCCCTCCTCTAAGTGTCATCCAATCTGGATATTTTAGCTCTTGCACCGTGGGGTCCTGTCCTCCAGGTGAGGTCTGCCACCTGAGAGGAGACGTATGTTATCATTTTCATCATTCCAAACATTGTCTTATTAATGAAACCCAGGATCACAGCTTTAAAAAAAAAAATCCATATTCAACTCTCTGTTGGCTAAATAAATATTTTGTTACTCAGTCCTATACATGTACTCAGTCCTATGCTGTGCCTGACTCCAAAAAAATTAGGAAGAGTTGATTATAAGAGACGTAATGGGAGTATTGGGATAAAACAGTCTTGTAAATGGAGGCTTTAAAGCAGCCAGAGAGAAAAAGGCCAAAAGGCGTTTCCTTATGCTGCCCTTTCTTCAGACGCGTTTTCTTTCCTTATCCAAAGGAGGATTCAAAAGACCTGGAAATGAGGAAATGAATCTCCTAAACTCTGGGTCAGGAAGATCAAACATCTCAAGTCTTTGTCAGGATGTGTGACACCCATCAGGCCTCTTACCAGATCACGGCCCTCGGGGCCCTTTCTCTCTCCCTTCTCAGGAACTCAGACATGACCAGGAAGATGTTCACCAACTCCAGGGAGCGGTGGAGGCAACACAATGTCAACAGCGCCTTTGCCAAGCTCAGGAAGCTCATCCCCACTCACCCTCCCGACAAGAAGCTGAGCAAAAACGAAACGCTTCGCCTGGCAATGAGGTACATCAACTTCCTGGTCAAGGTCTTAGGGGAGCAAAGCCTGCAGCCGACAGGAGTGGCTGGACCGGCAAACATTCTGGGACTCTTCCCCCAAGGACCCCACCGGCCGGACAGGACTCTACTCAGCGACTACCAGGTTCCTTCACCTGGCCCAAGCCACCACATTCCTTAGTGTGGCTCGGACTCTCATCACCCGGGGAAACTCTTGCTCAGAAGTCACTGGCTGTCAACAGCCCTGTGCGTGTTGCAGAGTCAACTTGATGAATAGTATGTGAGGCATGAATTTAAGCTTCCTAGGAGGCGGCTCAGGGACAGCAGCAAGGAGCTGCAAGGAGGCCATTAGAATGTGGCTTTGGAGTCCATCGCCCCTGGGGCTTTGGGGAAAGCGGCCTGTTTCTGTCTAAGTTAAATATCCAAGATCTACATAAGATGATGTTTGAAGGAAAACCAATCATAAGTTAAAAACGGCTTTGAAAGTCACTGTTTCACTCAATATAATTTCAGTTATAAGGAAGTTTTCTTGCAATGCATTTCAGATGCATTACTGTAAAATGTACTGAAAAGGTAGCATGTTTGATTAAGGGCAAACAAAATAAGTTACTCCAGGCTGGCGAATGTAAAGATCGCTCTGGCAGAAAAATACCCTGGAGGCTTGTGGGAAAATCTGTGGAGAAAAGACCCGCCTGACGGGTGAGGATTACAGGGACACAACAGATACCTGTGGAAGGGCTCTGCATCCTTTATCTCCATAGAAACGTGAGGCGTTACCTGCATTGAGCCATTTCTATATGTGTTATCTCTAAAGCCAAATGGGGGATTATATCTGTGAGAGGCAAGGACTTGATTAATTATGAATTAGAGTTCCTGGTTTTCTCATGAAAAACAGTTAGCTTAACTAGGTTATCTAAGCCCTCAGTTTCACATGTCATGTTTTAATACTTCTAATTCAGCCTGAGTTCCTGCTGATTTAAGACCCATAAAATTCTAATATAATTATGAAAATCCAAACATTACATTTAACGACTCATTTAACAGAGAATTTAGTTTAAACAAAAGATTTACAGTAGACAATAGGACTGTAATACCAAGCCCTAATGAATTAATGAATTTGTAATTTGCCTTCCTGCTATGGAGCATCAGCTCAGTCTTATGAAGGGAGGTGTGGTACCCACAGGTCGATGGAACAGTGTGGATCTGGTGTAACCCACCACCCTGTGCCACCCTGGGAGGGCTTGGATTTGGAAATGAACGCCATAGCTGAGTCCGGAATACAAATAATGTCATTTGATTGTCTCCGGAACATTTTATTTCCCCAAAGTTCTTGATGGCGCATTGGTTTTAAAACTGCCTGAACCATCACATCAGCAGGAAATTGATGGACTTGCCATTGTGGATTTCCAGAGTATACACAACAGAGGAATTTAAATTCCTGCCCCTCTAGAAAGAAGATATTAGATTTATGAAAGGTTGAAATAAGCCTGTTTGGTTTAGTAATCAGAAGAAAGTTGGAGGAGGCCCCCTCAACATCTCACTTCCCCAAAGAGCAAGGCCATTCTTTATGTCATTAAACTCTATACAGCATTCACACTTGTAGCACATTGTGTTTATCAGAAGCGATGCGTTTCCTTCTAGTTCCTTTCTCTAAACTGCATTTAGGAAACTTCTCTATGCGCCCAGAATAGTCCAGGGAAACATATAAGCACAGAGACCACGGGATTTCCCTGTAGGGTGCATTTCTTTCTTACGAGTTTAGGTAGACTTCAAGTTTGTTCCCAGACTACCAAAGCTTTGATGATAGTTGTCAACTGAGCATCATTACTTACTCTCTCATCTGGTATTAAATCAAAAGCACCCTTTGACAGTATTTTTGTCTGAGCTTCATTTTAACATGTTGCTGAGGGCCTTCCCCGTGAAATGTAGCAGACTGCTCCGAAAAAGTTGCAAGAACATTGAGTTATCATTAAAGTATGTGAGGGATAATTGTTTAAAGAAATCCTTTTGAAAAATGAATAAATATTTAAAATATTACTTCATGTAATTGACCTCTTAAATGATTTCCTTTACAAGCTTGGATTTTAGTTTATCAAGTTGTGTGTTAGGTTAAAATGACTGTCAAAAGGAATTTTACATATATGTGGACCAAAAACTTGGCAAGATATTCATAAGATGGGAAGTTACTTCAGAAGTGACTCTCTAGCCCTCCTTGGTGTCTTAAGGCTTGGTGATTGGGAAAGTAAGAATTTATGGTTCAAATGTATTGTAGTTCACCGATGGTACATCTCTTTGTGGATCACTTGAACCCTGTGGAAGACTTTAGACAGATTATATCATCTCTGCTACTCTGTTACTTGAAAACAAGTGTTTGGTTTGCTAAGGTCACCGCTGGAAACTTCTGGAAACCAGGTATAAAAAAGTCTATTTATTTATATAGATCATTTAGATTGGCCAATTCTACTCCTCCTACGACAGAGGAGAAAACAGGTCCAGAGAATTTTGAAGTGGCTTTGCAGTCATCACATGGACAGTGAGTGGAAACCCGGGGCTGGGTCTCCTGACCCAGCAGCAGGCCTTCTACAGCCTTCTTCAGTCACTAGATATGTTAAGATCGAAAATGGACAAGTATCTTATGATTAGACTCATCTCTTTTCAATAGTGCTCGGTAATCTTCTTCTATTGCCTTTTTATTGAAATTGAATTATTGTGCTTTGTAGAATGTGGTTAGAAGTATCAACCAAAGATTTTATTTGTTACTTTGTGATAATTTTACCATTGATTCTAATTTACTATTTAATAATTTATTGAAAATAAAATTAAGAAAAGAAATTGTTCTTTTTTTCTTTTTACAAAGAATTTCATATATCGACTAAGTACACCATGCACCCATTCATTCCACCCTCACAGTCTGCCTTCTGGCTTTGAACCTCCCCCCCCCCCCCCACTGTCTTTAGTCTGCAAAAAAACCGTTGCACCCCAGCCAACCAGGCCCTCTGTAGCCTGACCCCAATGTATCCTTCCCTTGACCTTCCACAGTCCCCTAAATATGTTGTACAGGCTAATGAAACCACTTCACTTGATAGTACTCCAACATGGCCTACTCTTCAGCCCCTCTGACTTCACTCTTGTGATTCCACTCGTTTCCATGAATGTCCCATTCTCCTCTGTTTTACTCTGCCCTCCTCCTGCACCACATTCCACTTGCTAAAATCCTTCATGAATTATCTGAAATACCTTCAGGAAGCTTGATTCATTTAAACAACATTTCTTACATGAAGTCCTCCTAGATTTCCACCACTTAGTCTACTCTCCCCGTTGTTGGAATCCGCTTTATGGACTTCCGGCACTTACCATATTTTGCAGTGTATTACGTGCACCCACGTTTTTGGCCCGAACTTTCAGGAAAAAAACTTTCATTTTAATTTTTTAATTTAAATTTTAATTTATATATAAAACCAATTATTGTATTCCAGGGTATTATTTTGCATACGGATATCATTATTGATTTCTAGAGTTCCACTTTTAACGCATAAGCATAAATAAAAGAATTTAAAATACTTATATAGATATGGAATTAGTACTACCTATTAACCATGCACATCCTTATTTTTCCCTCAAAAATTTGGCCAAAACAGTGTGCATTATACATGGTAAAATACAGGGCATTTCCTCTACCCTGTGCTTCAGATATCTGTGTCTGTTCTGTCCCCTGCCCCCCCAGCTAAGATCTCCTTGGCACAGTGACAGTTTCCCTCTATCATCTAACCCACAAGACAACCCTGCAAGTGACCTCACATTCAAAATGAGAAAATGGTATCAGGACTGGCTCTGTTAAGAATACTCCTCTCGCCTCCCCTAAAAGATGACATTGACGTGAAACTTGGGCTGAATTTTACTGAGAAACCCAGAGTCTAAAGCTCTTCTTCAACGTTTGTTTCTCATAATATCTATTCAACGAGGCCCTTGCAGCACCTGCCTCAGGAGGTTTCATCACCTAAGAAGGGCTTGAGAAGACCACGCTATGTATAAGCTTCACACAACAGGCTTTGCCTTAAACAGGCACAAGATGAAAGGGGCCTGGGAGAATGGACAGCTTAACTGCTGACCCACAGGTCAAAGGTTAGTTAAAAGTCACATCTTTAAATCACAAGGTCAAAGATAAGGAGGGAATCTAAAATCTCAATGGTGGTGCAAAGTGAGGGATTTAAAGTGGCAGGTGCTACGAAATGCCAAGGAATGAATGTAGTTAAAGGATTACAGTGAGCCAGGGCCAACGTCTCCTAAACTGGACACGCACGTCTGTGACTGGAGTTTACTAGAAACAGGAACACTTTCCAATTTTGTTTTCTCTTTATTGCCAACAACCTCTATCACAAGAGGATTTTACTGAGCATTTTGAGCACTAGATTTTTACATATGTCTTAGTTAGGTTTGTAATCTACCAAATAACTCACACTCTAAGAGTTTAATTTCCAGAGCTCAAGGATTCCCTGATAGTTGAATGTAGCAAGCTGCTGGATTGCCTTTTGTGGATAACTTGGGGAAAAAAAAACAACCAGGATTTTCAGTATGAGCATATACTTGCACCTAAATAATAATTATCCTTCTAGGAATGTATCATAAAGAAATAATCAGAATTATGGTCAAAGAATTATGCATGTGGCTATCTATTTCAGAATTATTTACATTGCAAATACAAGTAAAATAAAATAATAAGAGTAAGAGCCGAGTTTCACTGGGTGCTAACTATAACGTCAGGCACTGTGCCAAGAGCTTCCTGCCTCTGAGCGCCCATGATCTTTACCACAGTGTTCTCTTGTGAAGATTATATTGATTGCATACATTGTTCTCACTTCACAGAAGAGGGAACTGAAGGGTAGGAGATTATTTAACTTGCCCAACTTTCCATCAGAGTTCTTAATTCTTTTTGACCCTCACCACCTTAATGGAACCTTGTGGACCAGGCATATTACCCAATAACCCTATCGGGCAAACAAGCTCACCCCTACAACAACAAAGCCTCCTGTTCCAAGCCCTAAGCTGGGGCAATGCCACCATCAGACACGGTGAGTGGGCTGTCCTGCAGGCACAGGCTTGAAGATGCACCCCGTGGGGGTGGCTGGTTGGTTCTGCTGTCTGGACTTGGTGGGGTGCCAACATGAGGTGCCTTTATTTTTGTTCCCTCCCTGCCTTCAGCCATGCTCTGCCTGGTCTCCCTTTCCCATCCCATAATGACATGTCAGGCAGAGCCCCTGCCTTTGCGGTCTTTCAGGCTAGTTTGAGAGCCCACCTCTTCTCTTCCTTACCTCTACCACCTACCCCCCACCCCCGACCCTGCTCAAGAATGGCCGTGGTTCAGGGCTCTGGCACTGTGAGTGTGTGTGTGTGTGTGTGTGTGTGTGTGTGTGTGTGTGTGTGTGTGTGTATTTACACACAGGGTGGGAAAGCTGCCCCTCCAGAGCTCCTACCTGCCCTCCTTCTGTTGTTGCTCCTCTGGAGCTGAGGACTGAAGGATCCTCTAGGGAAAAGAGCAGGGTGTTTTTTTCACTGGGTTGCATTTTCTTCCCTTAGTCAGTTTAGACTTTTTTGTATCAATTCATCTTAACCAGTGATACAAGTCCTGGGTTTAAAACATTGGAATGGCAGAAAATTGAGCATTGTTGCAAGAAATGGAGCGCTGTGTGTTAAGGTGGTCAGTGAGCAGGCTGTGAAAGAACTCACAAAGAGAAGAAAGGGCAGAGAGTAAAGGTTTTATTTTCCTTCCCCAAGGGAGGGGAAGGGCCAGGGGCAGAGACATCACCAGCACCAGCCCTGAGGGGTGGGGGCTGTGGGTTTGTACTGGGTGATGGGCTGGTTGTAGAGCGGGGGTGTTTCAGTTGGGCTGCAACTTGTTTCAGTGTTATTCTGGGTCTGTTATTCTCTGCCCTTGTGGTCTGGCATAACTTCTGTGCCTCTGAGCCTCCAGGACGCTTCCAGTAGTTTTCTAGTCCTGAGGATAAAGGCTCATAAAACAATTAGGGCCAGTCACGCTTTATGGGGTCCAGCCAGCTCTGAGCAAGAGGGCCTGAGAAAGTGGCTTTTGTCCTATAACTGTGCTGAATATTTTGCATCTGCTCCAGTAGTCAGATCCCTTAAGTGTATTTTTTTTGGAGCTTCCTCAAGATTTAATTTTACCATATGGCGTGTGTGAGTGACTGTGTGCATATGAGTGTATGTATGTGCACATGTTCTCTTTCTACCAACTGATAATACCTTTGAGAGTGTGCAAACGTGTCAGAAATTGGGAAGCATGCTCTCCCTCACACCTCATACACCTCAAACAAGCACTGCACAAAGAATAGATTTAGACAGATTTCAAAAATGAGCCCTGGCCAGGTCACTCAGCTGGTTAGAGCTGTGTCAATACACTAAAGTTATGGGTTCAATTCCCAGTCAGGGCACATACAAGAAGCAACCAGTGAATGCCTAAATAAGTGGAACAATAAATCAATGTTTTTCTCTCTCTCTCCTTCTCTCCCTCCCTCCCTCTCCTTTTCTGTCTGTCTGTCTCTCTCTCAAAATGAATAAATAAATAAAACTTTTAAAAAGAATTAAAAGGAAGACTTCAAAAACAAGACAATGGGGACTGGATAGCCTGTTACTTGAGACTGTTGATCTCTAACAGGAATCTGGGTGGAGGTTGTCCTTTCAGGGAAATCTATCGCATTCCCTCACTCCTTTCAGTGTGGACCAATGAATAACTAAAGGAGGTTAAAGCTGAGGGTCAGCTGGCCTGAGATCCAGTTTCTTGGTTTTCCTTTAAGATTCTTGCCAAGGAAGTGGAGGTCGTTGATCACTAGACAAATCTACAGGGAGTAACCTGGACTGCGGGCTGTCCCCAGGTGTCCTGGCGCTGTCCCCAATCTTATCACATGATATAGTAATATTCTAGATAGGACCCGTCCTAAAGATGCGCTTTCCTCAGTTCCTGCTAGACTGAGGGTCATCAATGGCTTTCTGGGCAAAAATAGGATACATGTTCAGCGTTTAAGCAGTATGTTAGGCTAGAGTCAAAAATGCTTTAACTTTCTGCAACTTCACTCAAAGACGAAGGAGTTCTTAGATGAAGTCCCTGCACTTGCCAGGGACTGAACACTATCTGTACCAGTTTATGCAATTCTCAGAGAACATCTAAATGTGTCTAAATCTATGGAGCCTCCCGTAAGCCTGATTGGCCAGGGGACTGACATCTAAGGCCGGTAGCGAAGGCTCGTTTCTGTTGATACATATGCCACAGCGCCATGCAACGTAATTCCTCTCTGAGAGGAATGGAACTCCCAGCACTTCCTTTGCATAATTTTCCCTTTATCAAAGAATTCTTTTGGATAGAAAACCCAGATCACCAAATTATTCTGTGCTCCCCCTGCCCCGTGTTTCAGTCCTTGCCTACCTGCAGCAGGCATTTCTTTCACCAGACATTTCCGATCTTCAAGGCAGAAAATCGCAGTAAGAGAAATTCGGCCTATGGTAAAAGGCAGATGTGGATTCGGAGCCCAGCCTTGTTCCCCCGCTCACAGCCTGGTCTCAAGTTTGTCTGTTAGACTCTTTTAAGCCAGTTTCCCCAAATGTAGACTGGAGCAAATGCTTCCATTAAATGGTTGTTAGAAGTATCAAAGATGGCATTTATATAATGCCTGGCACATAATAGGCTCTCGATGAATATGAATAACCCTTTCTTGAAGTGCTGGTACTTCTCCACTCCCAACTTAC